ATTTTAATAAATAATTTGATTTTTTTTTTTGATTTAATTTTCAATTTGTTGAAATTTTTTGATGAATCACAATGAAATTTCATAATTTTAAAATTGTAAAAATTCGGTAATGATTAAGCTATTAATTATTATTAAAAAAAATGGCGGTTTGTTAAATTTCCAAGTAATAAAATAATAATTTGTAATTTCAAATTTTCAAAAATACAAAAATGAATGAATGACGAAGGATACAAAAAAAATTGCTTTTTAATTGTTTAGAATTTTCATTTAATTTTCTCCATTAGAATTCCATTTAGATTAAAGCGACTTTAATTAACATACAGAAAATTGAAATATTAAAATTATGAAAATTTATTTTTAATATTCAGAAATTTTTTGGAATGCAAGAACAATGTTGGTTGTTATTGTTATTACAGTTGAACATTATTTAATGCTGTGTTTTATAATATGATTTATTTTTAGGAATAAATTGATAAAATATTATGGACTCAATGAAAAACTTTAATTTTATATTCACAGAGTATCAATAAATCAAATTATTAATTTATGAGCAAATTATTTAAAAAGTACTTTGAATTTTGATTTATTAAAATTCAGGTTTACATCAAAGATTTAAGTAATAATATTGTGTCGATTGCAATTTGGGCATTGTGTACATATAGTGTTATTATAACGGTTCCTATGATTATTGTTAAATATAGTTATTGTTAAAAGTTTCTATGATTATCAATAAAGCAATTATAAAACCGCCGATATTTTAAAAATAAGTTTCCATCACAGATTTATATTCATGAATCCAGCTATTATGAATATGTAAAATTGAAGAATTTAATATATTATCAGAGATTTTTGATATATTAAATGGTTTTGAAATAATAATTTTTTTCAGAAAGGAATAAGTACCTATGAGTACCTATCAGTACTCATGAGTACCTATGAGTATCAATACTCGTTAGGGAAAAAATTTAACTAAATGTCCGAGAGACTATTAAATTTTATACTGTTCAAACCAATATAAAAATTCTCGTAAAATTTTTTCTAGGATTCTGAGATATTTTAAATGCAACACTACTATTTTCCATAAGGAGTCAATTTTACTTCTATATGTATACCTTTATTCAAGAGAGTACCGAAGTATCATTTAATGATCTTCCAAACTTATAATTATGTGGAAAGCTTTTATATATTCTTTCTTTAAATTTTACATATTTTCAAAGGAATATTAAAAAATGTTAGTTCTTGAAATTACAACAAAAACACATGTCAGATTCTTGCTGTAATTATTAAAACTGTCCTTTTGTAATTTTTATAAAGAAAAAATAATAATTTTCTTTTGAATAACATAAAATAAAAATATTTCTTTAATTTGTTCTTTCAATTCATAAAAATATTTTAAATGCTTCTTTTCTCTGGACCAGTTAAGATTTTAAGAAATAAGTCTTAAGAAATTTGAGATTTGCTTTGCAAATTTTGGGCTCATTTATAAATTTCGAGTTCTACCTAGAAAATCGCAGAGTAAAAATCATATAGAAAATTTTTTGGTTTCAAATTTTTCAAAAACCGATGAGAGCACTAAGTTTTGTATTAAAAATTATTTTTTATGCCAATTATCTTTTGCATTTTTTCGCAAACTTTTAAACTTTAATTTTACTATCTTGAGAGCGATTGTTTCACGGGTGATCAATTTATCTCTTAATAAAATATTTTATATAGAATAAATTTTGTATTATAAAGATGGTGGATAAGTTCTTGAAGGTTTTCACTCATTATTGTAGATTATTTAATCTCATTAAACTGAATAAATTTTCTTTTATATTCATGAAAACACTAAAATAAATGAATGTATATGTGTGTGTCCATGATTTTATATACACAAATTATAGTACAAAACATAATTAGCCACAATAAAGACTTGGTCTAGGTTCTAGGATATACGAGTAATTTTATTAAAACAATTATTTTTTTCTTTTTTTTCTGCTTTTTCTTTATTGTTATGACCATTTCGTTGGTCTCTCAATGAACCTAATTAAAGATTTAATTTTGTAATAAGGAAAGTACTTTTACGATAAAAATTAGAAAAACTTTTCTACAAATTTATTCTATGATTTAATTGTTGTTGTTATATTTGCTTTAAAGGGTGATTTTTCATATTTATGCGATAGAGAGAAGTTTTTTCTCTTTGGCATAGAAAGTGAAATAAAATTAATAATAATATAGAAATTTGTTTTCATTCTATTGTTTCTTTTTCATTTTTTTTTGGGTTAGACGGTTATGATTTATGGAAAACTTAATGTTTTTAATAAAATTTATTGTAAGAAAATTTCTATTTAGGGGATCTGCATTAAACGGTAAGAACAAAGAGAGATTAAATAAGGAAAAATAGAATAATAAAGAGAAAGAATTAAAAAATATTTAGTAATATTATTTATTTTTGCTATCTGAAAAAATTATTTAAATATCAAATTTTTGAGTAAAAAAGAAATTTTTAATTAGGTATATTCTAGATTTTTAGGTTCTTCTTCAAATTGAATGCACATCATTACCCAAAGATCACAAACAATTTCAATAACAATATTAACAAACGCATTGCATACAATAAAGGAGTTTATAACGTATGATAGCATCAAATTTCGGATGTCGAGTTTTAGGCCGGAGCCTACTTCTCCATAGTACGGAAGCGTAAACAATTTGTTTTTGGAGAGATGTCGTCTGTATGTGCACACGCGTATTCTCAAGTTCGGCTGAACCTGTCTTGATGAAAGCGGTTATTTGAGTTTATTAAGTCTACTAACCCGCGGAAACTGGACCTTTTGGCGGGACGATTTTTGCGCATATAAAGAGGAATTATAAAAAAATTCCTTTAAAATTTAATATTTAGATTCGGGATGTTAAAACAATGAATTCATAATTTTTTTGATAGATCAGGGCTCGGAAACGGAATTGGAAGGCGATTTTTCACTTTTTACCATATCCACGGAACGGATTGATGGAATTTCTTGAAATTTGATATTTGAGCTCTGTGGCACAAAGCGAAACTCTACTAAGAGCCATATTTAAATTTTGCTTACTTCCTTGAAAATTGAAAGGTAGTGTTTAAAACGCATTTTCATAATCTTCTGTAACACTTTAACTAAACTAAGCAATGTACATTGCGGTCGGTTATGTGTTAACTACATCAATATTTTGTTTTTTTCGGTACGTTATTTTGGTTTTTTGCAGAAAATTATTATAGTTTAGTTATTATAATTATACAATAGTTTCATCAGTTCAAATGTCGGATGCCAGAGACAAAAACTTTCTTGAGTTTATTAATCATTGCACATACGCAGCGTTGAAAATCCTTAAAAAGAATGATTTTAGAATAGAATTTAGATACTTGTTATGACTACTTAATAACTGAAGTATTTTTGAAGCGGTCTAAATTCAATAATAAAATACCATACGTAAGAACCAAAGAAATGTAATAAAAATTAAGAAATTTTTTGCCTTGTTTAATATTTTGATTACTATATAGAGGTAAAACCTGAAATACTCGTAATATAAAAATGTTTCTGGGTAATTTTAGATTTGCACTTTTGTCATGGCTTAAAATTTAAGTTTCTAAATAACTAGGCTATATTCAATAATTTACATTTAGTTTTTGCAATTCTGGACCTTTATAACAAAATATAAAATAAAATTCTTCTATCCTTAATCGAAAAGAACAAAAATGTGAAAGAATTAAAAATAAAAATAATTTTTTTTTTTCATTTTTAAAATATTTAATTAAGTTATAATAGAAAATGAATAGAATGCTACATAGTTTATTTTAGTATTTAATAGAAAAACTTTATTAAAACAAGTTTCATTTTATGAAAAAGGACTTTAGCCACAAAGTGAAAATAATGTTTGTATGGGGTTTGAAAAATAAAACAGAAGAAGAAAAGAATTAATTTTAAAATTTTAATTCAAATTTCTTCTTTTTTTTGTGCCTTTTCCATTTAAAGTTGAACATTTTAGAAACCTCAATTCGATTTCAATTTATAAACACAACTTTTTGGAATTTAAAATAAAATTATTAAAAAATATCGTAGTAAAATTTATATATGAAATTTTTATTGAATTTGTGAATGAAATTTTAAAGGATAGAATAATTCTAATATCCATTCGAAAATGATGTGGAAATAAAGTGGAACCAATATTGAATCGGAAATATATTTTGAGTCAGGTGCTGCAGAATTGTTTTGTATAAATACAAAATATGCAATAAATTTATGCTAAAATGTTCAAGATTAACTTGGTAGGGAACATATGAGTAACTAATATTAAGTATTAAAATTTTTTCAGTTTTTGTGGTTAATATTATTAGTATGAAAGTTTTAATTCCGTTTTGCTAGATTTTAGTATAAGCATAACTCGTTCGTGGATCTAAACTCTCATGTGTTTTATTCGTTCTTCCGTCAATAATAAAAACTTTTGCTATTGATAATGTTAATGTTGCACTCTTGTTTACTTTCAATATACTACAAGTTTATTAAACAAATTTATTTCATTCCTAAAGTCAACCAAATTTGCGATTAAAATTATAAAATTTTAAAATTCAAGAATTCTTTTATATTATGTTCTTCAATTCTAAATCAAATAACAGGGACGTAAAACATAAAAATTGTAATTTTTTAGTTCACTCCTTGCCATTATATTAAATATCCTTAAGAAAAATGTCCTTAACAGAAAATAAAATTTATAAAAAGTACAATAGTACTAAAGATGAAATTTAATATTTTTTTATTGCTGATAATTTTTAATTGTATTCCAATTATTGTTTGTCCGGAAATGTAAAATCGTTCTTTTGTATTATGCAAATATGCTGTTTACTATTTTATTTTGATTTCATAAATCATAAAGGTTTTGTACATATAATAGTCAGTATTGCTTTCCAATATGGATTTTAAAATTTTTATTGAATTGTTGTTAATTAAAAGCGGAATTTATAATAATAATCCTTTTTTTTTGTTTTACAGGTATGTCATAGCATTACAATTAACGCAATTTTGGCATAAATAACATTATGTAAGTAAATATTATTTTAAATAATTTTTAACAAACCGTAAATAGAACAGTTTTACATATTAATTATACATATATTATGTCTTTATTTAATCTGGAGTCTAGACCAATATTTTGATTGAATGATTAGATTTTACAATTTCATTTAATTTTCAATATGTCTTTAATGTAGGTATGACATTCCAGTTTATAAAAATGCAGATAAGTTTTCCTTGTGAATATTATACCAATTTTAATTCTACATAAATCAATACCGTGAGATTTTACCCTTAAACTCGCTAGAATTTAAGAAATTGAGAAGAAATGAAGAAATATTAAAGTTACAATTACTAAAGAAGCACTGAATAATTCTTGTAGTTAAAAATAATGAAGGTATTACTTGGTAAATGTTGTTATACAGGGCGTATAAAATTGGTGTAAATTCCCAGTTCTTTATAAATTTTGAAAAATATAAATGCAATAGAAGCACATACTAATTAGTAATATGTATTAAAATTTCTTTAAGAATAATTTTCTACTGAAATCATATCCAATTAAAAAAAATATTACTTTAAAAATTAATTATAGCTATACATAATATGTCTTTGTATAAGACAACAAAGATTCGGGCAATTTTAATTTATCAAGTCAACAAACAAACAAAACTTTGAAAAATAAAATATGTATATTATTTTCTTCATTTGCTTTTAATATAATTAACAAAAAAAAAACAGAGAAATATATTTTGTATTCTATTCTAATACACTCATATTTCCTGTTAAGCCTTTACACTTACACAATTTATAACAAAAAATATGCTTTTTCTATTAAAATTTCTATACTAAATAGAATAATGAATTCACTATGCTACTTCATATATAAATTCTAATAAAAAAAAGAAATTCTTAAATACACCTGTGCTAAAGTATATAAAGGGAACATGGTATAGGGTAAAAGAGAAAATATTCTTTTTGAAAATATTTTCAAAGGATTTTTATGTTATAATATTGCATACACACATAAAGAAAAATAAAACGAATGTAGTCATATACATAACAACATAAAGTATGTTTACGAGGGTATACTATGGTAAAGGAGTCTTTCGTTTCCTTTAAATTATTTAATTTCCTTATATATTAAGTATTATTATGCAATTTACATTAAAGGATATTTAAGTGATTTTCTAAAGAAAATATTTTTGTTAATTTCATTCGAAATAGGATCCTTTAAGAGTTTTTTCTTTATTTTTCTTTGGTTTACTTTTCTTTTGATGAAAATTGAATAGAGGGGATTTTGATGTCAATAAAAACAATTGGATTGTTTATGGTTGAAAATTTTTATAATGAAGTTTTGAATTTTAAGGAATAATGAAAAATACCAAAATGAAATGATTCTACTTTTTCTAAAAGTTTTTTCTTAACTTCACCCTTTTCACCAGAATCTCATAGTGTGTTTTGCCCAACGAATGGTATTGCAAAAACAAGTGGAATTTTTACTGAGTTCTTATTTTTTCTATCATATATTTTGTCACTTACTCCCATGTAAAAATTTTAAAACATAATTGAAACTTACCGCATTCTTATATAGCTATAGATGAATGTATAATAAACTAGTAATGAAAAAAACTATATGAGAAATTCATTTTCGGTAAAAACTCGTAATGTGTAAATTCCTGCAACTGCTTTCATATTTTGCTTGGAATATGATTAGCTAATAACATCCATATTGATTTCTGAAATAATTGAAAAATGATTACCTAAATAACAGTGACCTAACGTAAATTGACATATTAATGTAACGCAACCTAACGTAACGTAGCGAATTTTTTTCAAAAATACTTCTTTGTTAAATTATACTAGAAATCCAACTAGGAATCCGCGTGCTTTGCTATGATAAATACTACTCGTAAATAGCATTATTTGTTATACTTTTAAGGACGTTAAGTTAATTTATGCTAAATTACATGTTGTGTCGTATTGCGATCCGCAAGCTTGTTCGTCGTGTCACCTGGGTTAACGTAACGTGACGTAACCTAATGTTACGTAATACGACGGAACGTGACATAATGTGACGTAGCATTAATTCAAATAATTATTTTTCTAAAACTCGACATTAATTATGAATAGAACCGAATTAACCATTCTAATATACCTTTTTCGGGCTCTTTTATTGCAAATTAAGAGTTCTTCAATTACGACTAGAGCCGAACATCTATTACGACTAGAGCCGATTTAACCATTCTAATATACCTTTTCTGGGCTCTTTTATTGCGAATTAAGAGTTTTTCAATTAATGTATTGGAAATTGTGAGTAATGACTATAAGATTCATGAATTTAATGAGTAAAGTATACTAAATTTTAGTATTTGCTATTAATTTCAATATTTTAATATTGTTGAATGCAACTTTATTATTATTATACTAAAAAGGATAAAATTTTTTTTTCTTAGTAAAACAATATGTTAACATGTGTTCTCAATTTATTTAAGATTCAAGGCTTTTTTATATACCTACTTATTTAAAAAAAAAATCATTATAAATTTCGATAATTGAATCATCCCCTGAACCTAGAATCTTATACATACACATGTTAAGATCCGAAAAATATCACAAAATTATTCTAGACACTTGTCCTTTTAAAAAGCACAAAAAAAAAACAAACAGAATTGCTTTTATAGAGTAAATTGAATTTTCATCTATTTTTTATGTAACGTAGGTTATGTACTTGCATATACCCACATATTATAATTATATCCTTATTTCTTAGAAAACTTAACAAAAATATATATCCTTTTAAATTTTACTATACCAACTTTATAATAAATTCTTTATTGAAATATTTTAATATATTAAGATCCTTCTCATTTTTTTTTTTCTTTTTAAATTAAAAGTTTTTTCCCCAAAAAAGGAAACCGTCATTTATTGCACAAAATTATTCACTCTTTAAAATGTATTTATATATGAAGGTATATAAAGAAAGTATGAAGGTGGAATGGCAGTAGACTAGTTTAGAAGAAATTTTTTTTTTAATTTAAACCCAGAATATTAAGGTGTTGTATAGGGTTTCTTTCTTTTTTTTTCCTTAAATTTCACGTAGTTTCAATAAAAAAAATTTCTATGGGTGTAGCAAATAATATATGAATGTGTTCTGTATGTACATATATATTTGTAAGTTTAGTTAATGTAAAAATTTTTTAGAATTTTTTCTTTTTTGTCGGGGTTTATATGAAAAAGCAATCAAAAACATATTATAAATGTTAAGTAAGTGCGGCCTTTCAGACATAAAAATTGTAAATTTTTACGAACCTAATATTAAAAATATTGACTTATAAAGAATGCTTTATTAAATTATTTATATTCTAGATGGATGGATAAAATTTTAATACTATATGTATACTGTTAATGTTATAAAGAAGAAATTATGAAATAATATTTAAAATATTTGATTGAATAGAAAGTGAATTATTAATAGTGACAAAAGAATGTTACAAATACTGTAATGTTGAACTGTTGTTCACGCGTTATTAGAAAATTCGCTACTTCATATTCTATAGATCTACAAACTGCTAGATATTTTAAATACATGAAGAAATTTTTGCTAATTGTGAATAACCAATCAATTAAATTTCTTTTTATTATAGGAGAATTCATTGTAATTTTGAAAAATTGAAAACATGCGACTACTTATTAATGCCATCAGACTATTTCAATTTATAATTAGTTCTAGCTTTCATATTTTTCAAATTGCTTCACTTAAATACTCTTTAGTATTCAATCACATGGTTTGATGAATTTCGTTTGTATTCTACACTGCTCCTGAATGTAAGTTTTAATATTGTAAGCTTGCACTCATTGTATAATTTGAAATATAGCATACAAATTTTAAAGTAGGACAACGATTGCTCGAGCACAAATTTCATATTAGTAAAATTATTGTCAAAACTAAAGCCGAATATATTAAATCAATACTTTAGCTTCAAATTGTTAATTGAACTATACGTAAAATAACTTTTATCCTAATTAAATTTGTGTGTTAAGTTTGTTTATTCCCTATCGTTACACATATCATTAAAATGTTAAGATAAGGGTTTACATATGCGATGGATTGAAATTTATGAAGAAATCTTAAAATGTCAAGCTATATTGGATAATTAAGAAAAGGTTATAAATTCATTTAGATGGCTTTTTAATCCTCCCTTCGATGCATATAAAGTTTATTAACAAATTTTTATAGTGCTAGAAAAACTTAATGAATTCATAATTTTTAATAAAACTCATTTTACCTTCAATTTCAGTGATGAGTTTCTTAATTAATTTTAATTAATTTTTCACCCAGAGAAAGGATATTTTACACATACGTAAAAGACATACATGGGTACATAGTTAGATTGAATATAGTCAATAACTAAAGTAATTTTGCTTCTACTTTAAAAATGTCTTCTCATACTCAATTTTCTTATTGTCCAAGTTTTTTTTGCAATTACTTTAATAGAGATCCTTTTTTTCCATTGTATTTTGGTTATTTAGTTCTGAAAAGAAAAAGGATATATTTTCATTAAAAATGACAAATTGTTCATAGACAAATTTTGAAGTATGCACTTTTTTTCACTTTCCTTTTTTTTTTAAATTTAAATTATTGTACAAAATATGAGGTTTTTATTGTTTGTTACCGATAATCTTAAAATATCCTTTTTTATTATTAAAAAAAAGTGTATTCAAACAGATAAGGTTGAAACTGCCATGCCTAAATTCATAGGACTATTCCCTTTACTTTTTATTAAATGAAAAGGATTTTCTTCTTCGCTTTTTATGGTATTACAATTTTAGCATTCAAGATTCTGTCAGATAATTTTTTTTTTGGACCCTTTAGTAGAAAATTAAAATTGCTTTTGACAGTTTTATTTTTGACTTTTTGATTAGCTGTATTTAATGATTAATTATCATAAGATTGAATTAAAATAAAGTTGGGCCAAACCAGTGATTTGTAAAGTAGCACTTTTTCCTTCAACAAGGGAAAATACTGTC